TATCTATCTATCTATCTATCTATCTATCTATCTATCTATCTATCTATCTATCTATCTATCTATATATATATATATATATATATATATATATATATGAGAGAGAGAGAGAGAGAGAGTGAGAGAGAGAGAGAGAGAGAAAGAGAGGGAGACTGCAATGTGACTTTTCCTATGAAATTGCAGGAATTGTGAGCTCATATTGTCAGAAAATTTGGGACACATGAATGGCTAGCCCACCATAGGGGCGGCTCGAGTTACTAAATATAGCTTCGTATTAAGTGGAAAAAGTGAATGTTCGTGCCACAGAAACAGAGATAGTTTGCATACTGAACTAACTGTCAGCACTCTGTTAGCTTTGCTTGGCCTAATCACTTGAGACAATGTTAAATGCACTGTGACAATAAGAGCGAAAGGCAGGTACAGTTACATAAGTATTCTAAATAGGATTAGATTTTAACATTAACAAAGATATGAGAGACAGAGCGAGACAGATGGGTGAGGGTAATACATCAGAAGAATCCCTTTTAATAGATTTTTGTTAATAGATGGAAACTACAAATACAGTATGAAGCAAAAAGAGTTAAAAACACCCTTTGTCTCGGTTTTACTGAAAAAAGTGAGATGCACTTGCTTAATTGACACTCTGTCTAAAGAACAAGCCCCATGAAAATTAAACCAATTCCGTCACAGCATTAGACGACAGTGCTGGGGCTTTACAACAGCAGGGTTTGTCCTGGAGCAAGGTACTATGTTGAACAGCACGCCTCCCAGTTTGCATTAATGCACCCTCTGTGCTGATCAACCAAAATCAGCAATCATGTTAGTGAGAAGACTTTTTTTTTTTTATCGGCCTCCCTCAGACTCTCATCGGTAATCACAACGTGAGGAAGCATTTGCACTAACTGTTATATTAAGTCATGGAATCTGTCTGGAGGCAACACCCCCCCCCCCCAAAAAAAAGTCCTTAGGGAGAGCAGGAGGCAAGCTGAGTGTTGTCCGGCACAGACAGGTCATGGCAGAGTGGCCTAATTGCCTCTCTTGTTGTCTCAGTAGGCCAGCAAACCTCCCAGCTCCCTCATCATCACTGAGGAGCACTGACTCCCTTGTTCAGGCAGGTCTATCTGTGCCCAGTGAGCCAGGATCCAGCCTTGCTTCTACATTGCGCCAATAAATACGTCCTCATTACACCAATTCAGCTATGTAACAGAGTTGTAACTCATGATTCAAAAGCTCGTAATGCTAAACTTGAATATCAGAGAAAGCACAATGTTCCTGTAGACATTTGTTGTGCATTGTTAAACAAGGTCTGTGATATCCAGGGTACTTCAGCATTACGTCAGTGTTACACCAGTAGTGATTACGTCACTCAAAAATGCCAGGGCAGTATGATAACTAAAAAAAAAAAAAAAAAGCAGTACTTTTTATTCCAAGTATCATTTGCCTCGATCTTTAACACATCTCAGGACCTTGAGTGAAAGTGACAGAGCAAATTGAAAACAAGTACAGCCAAACAGGGAAAAAGAAAACAAAAAGCTGCAGCATTCTTAAAATCCTCATCACAAATACTGTGCCGACACAAGCACACTGCAGTCTAGCATGAATAGTTGGCATGAGGTTATATAATTCCTCATATTCTCCCTGCTTTCTTTCCCCTTTTCAGATGCTTGGATCATGATCATTCTCGCCCCAATGGGCAAAGGGGCCTCATCGATACTCCACGCAGGGCAGGGGCCAGGAACAGCTCGACGTCCCACAGAGCTGAAGGCAACTCATCTTTGTCTATTCCGAACACCCAGGGGCAACATGGAGCGCCATAGCGTTATAATCCTGGCTAATCTGGACACAGTGGAGCATCTGGAGATAGGGATATGGCTAATCTCAGACATGGAGGGCACTTTGCTGAGACAGAAAAGGGGATGGGTCTAAGCTAGACTCGCCCTGTCGTACAGAGCTGAATACACATCTTGTGGGAGTTTTAGGTATTACAAAAAAGAAAAAAGACAATACCACATAAGTAATACTTGAAATTGCATTGGCCGTAAAATGTAACAAGAAGTAAGCACAGACTTTTAAAAGTAAACACCAATGATGGACTGCTTGAGAAATCACATTACCTAGGGATTGCATTAATGGTAGGATAAGAAAATACTTACTGTGCCCTGCTCTTAGGGATGCAGGAGATCTGTGGATAGCAATAGGCACAATATGGTGGCGCTTGTTTCCATTGGAGAGGTGAATGTGGTGGAGACTCTCCACAGCACCTGGTTCTGACCCTGCCACAAAGCCCAGGGCAATGATCCACAAGGCCAGATGGGTGACTGAAGCTGAATTCCAGTTTCGGGGCTGTGCAACAGGCCTCAGGGGAGCAAACTGTGTCCTCCAGCCTCTGAACATCTTCCCTGAGTGGCCAGATGAGGCTTCAGATCAAGGTGGAACTTCAGCGAGCCTCACAGCCCCATACTTCTCACCTTGCCAAATCTCACTATGGCCAGAGACACTGACACAGATCCACAGGGAAATAAACAATCATTTAAAAAAGCCAAATAAAAAGGACCGAAAAAGCAAAAGGGACACCTCACAAATTGTCGGCCGTGAGGGAAAAATGCTTCTTGCTGTTCTCCAGTGAGTTAAGAAATCCTCAGCAGCACCCAGGTAGGTAAAGAAGTATTAAAAATCATCATAGAAAAACAATCAAAAACATTCACAAGAAATTAGGGCAACCTCAAACAGCAATGGAGAAATCCCAGCTTGCTCCAATTCCCCTAGTTCCCTTGTTTTCTCTGTTTCTCCCCTTAACCCTCTATTAAGCACTCACAAAATTAGAAGCATCTTCACATTTAAAAAAAAACCAAAACTGTTAATATTCCAAAAAATGCAAATGCCAGGGAAAGAAGAGAGCCTACTTAAGAAGAGACTGACAGCCTCTGTGCAAAGTGATTTTCTTCAGAAAATCAAAACAGACATTCCGAGTTTCCCTCTTTTTCCTCCTCCAGTGGTCTCAAAGGTTGTCCAGAGGAATGGGACCATAGTTAAATCCGAGTCTCATTTGCATGTGTTGGACAGCTGCAGCAGCGTGCAGTAGACTGCGTGATTGTACCTGTAAGTTGTGCCAAGTAGCGCACCCGTTCCCCATCTAGAGATATCTGTTCTCAGTGAGACCAAGCGATAGCAACGCCGGTACCTGAACGAGCAGCCCTGGGCAGGAACACACACTCACACACAGCCAGCATCGGCACCGCCGTTCCAGAAGATGTGCGCAAGAGGAAGAAGGGAGAGAGGAGGAGGAGAGGGAGGAGAAGGACGGAGGGAGGGGGGAGCCTCAACAGCCAGCCAGGAAGCAAGAGGGAGAGTGGCTATGCAAATGGGCAGCATTCACATAGCGAATCACTGGAGTCTGAGTGCATTGCAGAGGGAGAGCCTATTTAGGCAGAATAGCAGGATTTGGAGCTATGTCCTCCAGCCCTTATTCCTTTCACAGTCTACTCTCTCTTTTCAGTCTTTCTCAATCCACTCTCCCGTGTGAACACTCTTCAGCGGTTTAAAAAAAGAAAAAAAAAACGAGAACGTGGGACAGGCTAGACTCGTTTCGTTTTCTACTTTTATCATCTCATCCTTCAGCATTCCTCCCACTCCTCCTGCTCCCCTTTTTATGTGTGTCTCTTCCCTGTTCACTTTCATTGTCTGTGAATTTAGGGAAGTTTTGTGACAATAGTCGTCTGGATTTAAAAAAAAAAAAATGGAAAGAAGCAGTCCAGCCTAATCCTCGCCTCTCCATTGCTCAAGAAAACCTACTGCAGAAGAGTGATGATGCTGCAGCTCATATACTTTAAGGAACTCTCTCAAACACACACACGAACATATGAGCACCCATAAGTACGAACACTCAGACACACAGCGACACACAGACACACACGTATGTAAACAAAGCACGCACAATGCCAGAGCCCGCGGTCGAGAACTGTCCACAGAGAGGGTGCTGAATCCGGGCAAGTCTGCCTTGCCTGCTAATAAAAGACCATTTCTCACAAGAGCGGGAAGGCTGATCGCAGTGCAGCAGGGTTACAGGAATGTAGAGAACATGTGGACATAAAAGCCCTGCTGATAAACACAATCCGGTTCAGCTGGGAAGTGTGCTCAGTGTTCAGAGTTCAGGATTGGAGAGCACAAGGCTCAGCTGCAGTGTGCCTGCTTCTGTTTGCACACTGGCTATTCAACATCCTTCTCTTCGAAACGCAGTGTCCTAAGCTGAGGGGGGAAAAAAAAAATCTGCAAGCACTGCTGAGCTGATCTTTACGGTTTACAGGGAATACACAGGCATTTCATGCCCAAAGAAAGCCAACTTAGCCAGCGTGACACAGAGGATAATATGCCCTTTCCAATTTCTCTGAATATTTCGTATAATCAGTTTTTAGTAGAAATACATGCAGAGAGTTGAATACTCACTTTTAAAGCATGGCTGCTATCATCTGAATTTAAATGTAGGAAGAACAATAAGAGCAGGCACATAGTGTTACAACATTAAACTCTAAGAAAACTATGATCTGCCATCTGGAAGGAGGACAGATGAGGATCCCTCATTTCTCTCTCTTCTAATTAACGCTGTGTTCCTATATAGTAGTAAAAAGTAACTGAAATACAAAGCAGATGCTGCACATATTAGGCAACTGTGTTGCTCTCACCTTGTAGAATCTCAATAACGTGGTGCAGCCACCTGGTGCTAAAAAGTAGGCAGCATGGAACCTCTCCTCTGTTCTCATTTGCAATGGTGAAAAGGAATGTTCCTGCTGAATGTGTTTACACTTTTATAATTATCAGCAGTGCAATCTGCATAATTACGCCTAATAAGGCAATCTATCAGGGCTGCTTGCCAAGGACAACAACCTGACTTAGTGTGTCCTTAATTGCAAACTTTTGCAAAGAAACGGAAGGGGAAGCTTCATTTGAGAAGCTAAATATCAGGGTAAATACAGGTGTTATTTAATGGAAATGCAGTGTTAATATCGCAGCGCCCAAAATTATTGGCATCAGCAGTGAGCAGTGATACTTTTAGCACGTTTATCATTACTTACTTGTTCATTTGTGCCCCCAAGTGGCGAAATTCTAAAGTGCACCAAAGCTGTGTGGGTTTTTCCGAGCCAGCAGCTTATGTTTGATGAATCGAGCAGAACAGCAGAGTCTCATCAATCAGCAAGATTCAATAAATTCAATAATAGAAATATTGCTGAAAGCCTCACCAAATGCATCATATTGCTCCAGATCCAAACTTTAAGAGATATAAATTTGAAATTCTGATTCTTTGCTTCAAGATCGTCCTCTATTAGGGCATAAGTTAATTGTTCTGCAGGTTGCCCTTTGATCTGTTGATGTGTGGGATCATTAAAGTATGAGGCGCAAGGAGGCCGTGCATCCAGCTTGAGGTGAAACATTTAGCACTAAATTCCTTCTGCCTGCACAAAAGCAAACACCTGAGCCCATGAGGTAAACTAATTTACAGATCTCAGCTGCTTTAACCAGATGATTGTACTGTAGTGTGTTCGCCACAAAATGAGAAAATCCTGTTCCACAAGAAAGCTTCCACCATTAAAGAGAGCTTTTCTTTATTATTTACTATTGTGTTCTGACTCCAGCTCCTGTTAGCGAGATGTCTCCTTAACAGAGACCCCAAAACAGCTTGCCTTTGTTTCTATTTAAGACCCAGAGGATTGTGTCTCAGATGCATGCGATGCTCTGAGCATATTTCCCCTTTTGAATCAACATCACTCCGATTTACTTTTGTTTGTTTGTCTATTTTCTTTGCTTTTTAAAGCCACAGAAAATTATTTTGGAAGAAAAAAAGATGGGAAATAAAGGAGAAATCATGTGAAAGATTGGGGCTGATTTTTCAGTGACAGGAGGAGAAATTTGGCTTGGGTGTAATAATCCCTCGGAGAGTAAAACGCTAGAAGAGAACAAGCACAGAGCACAGAATAGCCCATGTTACTCACTTACGGCTGCAACCAGTGTGGACTGAGCTGATGAGATGACTTTTTGGAGGACTGGAGGAAAACCGCAGGGACAGCAGCAGATGGGTGGTCTAAGAGTACCTGACCCGACTGGAGCAGGGCCTCTAAATCAGTTAAAGAGCCATCAGGCAACACTTTATCACACACGGAGAGACCCTTTAGAGAGAGGGTCAGACACTTACAGCCACTTTGACAACAATGTTTCTCCTTCTCAAGTGCTACTATTATGTTTACTGTTGCTATTAGAGGGGAAGGGGAATAAAAATCTAACGGTGTATTATTTTAATCAGCACATTCATCGAATTCCCAAAGGTGCAGCATCCCAACACCTTGCACATTGTTTTCTAGGCACACACTGCTTGATTGAGCATGCAGGCCAAGTCATGCATGAAGCAGGTATACCTGTTGTGTGCTGGAGTGACACATCTGTGTCAGGCTCAGCAACATATGTGTCCCAACAAATGAGAGTGTTTGGAGACCCATTTCTCCAGGGTATACCAGGTGCACTGGTGAGGAGATTACAGTGCACCGTGTATTAAAAGAATGACAAGTGAGAAATGCTAATTGTACAAAACTGATCCTCCCACCAGGATGTAAAGCAACGGTGACCATGAGAGCAACCGCCTGCGAGCAGCCGCAACTCAAATTTCTAGAGCGATCCGCAAAAAGAGAACAATTACTGTAGCAAAAAAGTAACACCCTTTGTTTTGTCACCAACACAAAGGTATACAACGCTAATAGTCTCTTCAAACGCTGACATGCAAAATGAAACCTGAACTCTTTACAACTGAGAGTTTTCCGCGAATATCAAACGTGTCATTACTCATCCGAACACCACAGAGAGAGAGAGAGAGACAGAGGAGCAGACAATGCTCTGATGCTAATGCGTGCAAGTGTACAGAAATAGAAACACGGCGTCTTAGTCTTAGTCATCACGAGATGTGACATGATAAGAGCAGACAGACACAGGGAGTCAACACTCAATACAAACATACGAGCTGTACAGTATCTCGACACAGCCGGGGTGCCAATACGTTAGTGGAATATGTTACACTGTTCCTGTCTATCAGATCGCTCAACTGTATATAACAGAGTGAGGAGTGTAAACACATCATACAAGCATTAACTGGTCATTTCCCATTCATTTGCTTCTTAGCATCTCTCTCAGATGCTGGTGCTGGAAAGCCCTATAGAATTACATCTAAATCAATCCCAAAAGTCCTCTTTTATTGAGGATCGACGGTATTTCTCATTGGCTAACACAAAAGTGGTCGTGATATGGTATGAGCAGCATACCTATGCATGTAAGCCTAGGAAAAAAAATCTGTAAATACAACTGTTTATGTAAAATGCAGCAAACATCACCAACCACACGAGAGATTTGTGCTGCACACGCTGTTCATTATGCAAGCTGTGAAG